CAAAGATTACCCACACCGCGCAATCGCCCTCGCGACCTCGACCCACGCCCTCGTCCTCCGACACAGTTCGTCCACCACCGAACAGTCGGGGAACCCCAATGCCTCGTCCACGTCACTGGGGAGCAATGGCGCCGGCGTCGCGCGCTGCATGGTCGAGTTCACCCGGCTGGAGGAAATCGATCTAGAAGACTACCGCGCGCTGCATTCGGTCAACGTACACGGCACACTGGGCTTGATCACCGTCAACAGCGATGTCTTCCTCGTCGTCGTCAATGGCGCGAGCAAGGTGGCGACAGTACGGCCTGGCGAGACGGTGCAGAGGATATACTCGGTCGGCTTCTACTGCCTGACCAGCACAAGCTACGATACCCTGCTCAACGACGAAGTCAACCCCTACCCCACGGACACGATCGATGACGAAGGATATGAGATGGGCTTCGGTGGCAGGAAGGAGCAATCGCCCATGGAACACCCGTGTCTGGCACTCAAGAAGATACTCAGCAGTGGGACCTTCTATTACAGCTCAGACTTCGACCTCACCAGACGCTTACAAGACCGTACAACCGATGCCGCAACCGTTTCTATCGACAGTCTAGACGCTGGCTTTCTATGGAACTCATACATGATCCAGCCACTGGTGGACTTTAGGAGCCGCCTTGCGCCGAGAGAGAAGGACGCTTTGGATGCTTCGGGGATCTTGACATCTGCCATCCGCGGTTTCGCACTCACCATTACGATTCCCAAGTCTTCGGCCCCCATCAGGGTACAGGATTCAGGCATGCCGTCGTCCATGACGCTCATCTCAAGATTATCCTGCAAGCGGGCGGGCACAAGGTTCAACTCGCGAGGTATCGATGATGATGGGAATGTCGCAAACTTTGTGGAAAGCGAAACAATATACTGGGCGCCGTCGGGAGCTTGCTTCTCTTATGTGCAGGTGAGAGGAAGTGTACCCATCTTCTGGGAACAGCAGGCTGGTCTCCTCCCAAACCAACAAAAGATTACCATCACCCGGTCGCCGGAAGCTACACAACCCGCCTTTGACAGGCACTTTGATAACCTGGAACTCAGCTACGGCACAACTCATGTTGTAAACCTGCTGAGCAACGAAAAACAAAACGAGTTAGAGTTGACGCATAGATATCGCGGGCATATCAGAAATAGCCCGTTGAACCAAGGAAGCAATCTCAACGACCGACAGCATGACCTCATCAAGCTTACGGAATATGACTTCCATGCCGAGACACGAGGACCCGGTGGCTATGAGATGGCTAGCATGATTGCTCAGTGGATCCAAGGTTCTGCTGAAGGATTCGGGTACTATCTCTCTGAAGATGTGGAAGAAGTGGCCAGACACAATGGAGAAGACTACGCTGTCCGCCGGACGATGAGCATACTGCAGCAGGAGGGGGTCTTCCGAACAAACTGCTTGGATTGCCTTGATCGAACGAACCTCGTGCAAACCATCATCAGCAAGATGGCACTCGAAATCTTTTTGAGCCACAAAGGCCTTCGAGCCAGTCAGGACTTCTGGGTCAGACATTCGAGTATGTGGGCAGACAATGGCGATGCTCTTTCAAAGATCTATGCGGGAACTGGAGCGCTGAAGTCCTCATTTACGCGATCTGGAAAGATGTCGCTTGCCGGTGCTCTGGCAGACGCTCGTAAGAGCGCCACCCGAATGTACATTAACAACTTTGCGGATAAAGGGCGACAGAACACCATTGACATGCTCCTTGGAAGACTGATTGGCCAGGTTCCAGTGCATCTCTATGACCCGCTCAACGACTATGTGGTCGCAGAGCTTGCGCGACGATCTGCGGAGTATTCAGAGACCGAGATGATCAATATTCTTGTCGGAACATTCAACTTGAACGGGAAAACGAGTGGCATAAAGAGCGATCTTTCGCCCTGGCTATGCCCGGATGTCGATCCATCACAGCAGTGCCCCGAAATAGTAGCTGTAGGCTTTCAAGAGATTGTCGAATTAAGCCCGCAACAAATCATGTCGACAGACCCAGACAGACGCGAGGCTTGGGAGGAAGCTGTCAGAATGTGTCTCAACAAGAATGCCGAGAAGCATAGAAAAGACGAGTATGTTATTCTAAGAGGTGGCCAGTTAGTGGGTGCGAGTTTGTCGGTCTTTGTCCGGGCCGACTGCCTTACGCATATCAAGAACGTCGAAGGCGCTCTGAAGAAGGTATGTCCATATTTACTGAATCTTACCTATTGCGCTAAAACATACTCCAGACTGGCATGTCCGGTATGGCTGGTAACAAGGGAGCCGTAGCTATTCGATTTGAGTACGCCAATACCTCGATCTGCCTTGTCACGGCCCATCTCGCAGCTGGTTTTGCCAACTACGAAGAGCGCAACCGCGACTACAAGACTATCAGCCATGGCCTACGCTTTCAAAGGAACCGATCAATTGAAGACCATGACACTGTAATATGGCTCGGCGACTTCAACTACAGGATTGGCCTGAATAATGAGAAGGTGCAACGGCTGTGCCATGTTGGTGACCTCGAGACCTTGTACGACAACGACCAGGTAAGTAGTCACGTTTTACTTGCATGGACCATAGCTAACCAAAAGCAGCTTAATCTGCAGATGGTAGCTGGCTTGACCTTTCCGTACTACTCCGAGGCCCGCATCACTTTCCCGCCGACTTACAAGTACGACCTCAACAGTAATCAATACGATACATCCGAGAAAGCGCGCATTCCCGCTTGGTGTGATCGTGTACTTCGCAAGGGTGATAACATCCGACAAATCCACTACAACGATGCACCACTTCGTTTCTCTGACCACCGACCGGTCTATGCTACGTTCCAGATACTGGTGCAAAGGGTCGATGAAAAGAAGAAGGATGCCATGAAGGCTACTTTGTACAAACAACGAAGAGAAGTGGTTGGCGATACCCACGCGGCAGGCCGTCTGGGTGATGATGAGACGGACGACGAAGATCTGCTTGGGTACGATAGTATTGAGCCAGGATTGCCACCTGCAAGCTCAGATCGGAGGAAGTGGTGGCTCGACAACGGTACTTTTATCATCTTTCCCGCTATAGCTTGGATACTCATATTCAATAGGTTTACCAGCGAAAGCACGCGTGGAACCGCCATCTAGTAACCACTTTCCAAACCCGAACCGACACAGCAATCCGTTTACGCCTAGTCCAGAGCCAGACTGGATAGATGTTCGGCATATGCCGAGCAGTCGCAGACCCGAGCCACCACCAGCACGCGGCTCACAGAGAGCACGCACAGTCGACTTCAACGGCCCCTCGACCAGTTTACCACCAACGCAGAAGCCCGCGGCTCGCAAGATGATCGCTCCGTTGTATCCGGGTCATGCCACTCAAATCCTCAGTTCAGACGGTACGCGAGATTCGCTCAGCGACCTCCGCCGCAGCGGCTCAAGCGCGTCTACACACTCCCTTCCCAGCAGCCTACCTTACCGCGCATCAAATACGCTGCCCCAAACACAATCTTCCAGTAAACCACAAGTCCTCCGCAAACCAGCACCACCACCAATCCCCAACAAGAAACCCGCTCTCCTTTCTAAAGGTTCCTCTCCAGGACCAACCTTCGCACCCCCTCCACAACGTTACCGTGATGATCCCCCGGAAGAAGATTCGAGGGCATATCCTCCGCAGTCAACCAGACGCTCAATGGCTCCGCCTCCTCATCTGGCCAGGAAACCAGTGCAAAATCTTATTGATGATGACGGTGACAAGCCGGCATTGCCGCCGCGCACGGGGAGTGGTGGGAGTAGTAGGAGGAATTTGATGGACGATGAGCCGGACGATATGCGTAATATGGGGGATTGGGAGGTGCTTAGACCTGTAAGGTAAACTGAGCTTAGCGAATGCGGATAGAGAAAGACTCGGATTGATATTTTGGTCTCTGGACAATAACCGTGCAGTACCGGATGCTGACCAAACCCACATGCTCACGTCCGACGCCTGAGTACTCTAGGAAAGTACATAGGTAGAATGCGATCACGAAATGAGACCATGTTGCTTAGCTTAACTTGCTCGTAATGATCTCATACATCGATCAGTATGAACCACGCTGTTGGGTGACTGTACGCGAGTTGTGACAAGGATTGATGCGACTCCCTGTTCGAGTCACGCGACGACGCGTGCGGTCGCGTCAGCGCTAACCCCATTGACACGCCTCACGAGCTCCACTCACACACCACAAGCCTCAAACAACGCGCCTACGCATGCAATGCATGCGCCTGTAACGGCATGAAGAGAAAACGTAGCGCCCATAGCTGTGCGGGCGGCCGCAAGAAAGCAAAGGGCGCCGATGACCAATCCACCAAGGCCACCACTGTTAATGCTACTCATCCGGTCCTACAACGCCTCTATCCCGAAGTCCTTACTCTGCGCCAGTATCTGCTCTCTCGACTACCAAGCTCGTCGAAGAATAGATACCGAAAGCTTTCGCAACTTGGACATGCCATACCCGCTGGAGACAAAAACACCGCGGACCTTGACAATGCCGTTGTGCAGTTGCTCGACTCAGCACTGGTATGCACTTCAGGCATTCAACTAGAAAAGAACAAAACAAGGAGTTCCAGTGAGGAGCGGGAAAAGGATATCGAAGCATTCACCCAACAACGATCGCAAAGCACTCCGGGCGGTACCTTCAAGCCGGGATACTACAGGCAATCCGAGGTAGGTCATACAAAGCATCGCCTACTCATCGTGTTTCGCTCAAAGAACTACGACTAAGCATATCCAGATTGTTGATTTCGTGATATGGCGCTTGTTCAAACGTTCAACATCTCACAAACCAGCACACTTACTCTGCCATGGCTTTCAAAGAGCAGCAGGCAGCAATCGTCGCGTACAATGGAACAGCGAGGATCCGAGTTCATCTATTCCTGGTCTGCAAGAACGTCTACCTAATAGCTACGCGAGGACGTTGAAAGAGCCAGTATGGTGCCGATTGCACGCATTGCTCGGCCAGGGCGGGGACCGCATTATCATGGACATGCTTCTGGAGTGCTCCATATTTATCTTGGTCAGTGCTGATATGGGCAACTACTATCAGCTCTCTGGGGTTCCTGTGCATGAGGTGAAGTCGGATGAACCTCAGAAGAGCAACATCGCAAGAGTCAACGCGGATAAGGAAGCGCCCACCAAACCTTCACAACTCAAGGTTGAAACCAAAAAACCGGGCGCTATTACATTTGTGCGCAGTCGCATGCTTTACGCGAAAGCAGCGCTCAATGCGAAAGGTGGTGTGAGATTTGGAATGCGCCATATTCGTGCGTTGTCACTGTTCTTCGAGTGCTTTGTTGGGGCTAACCATTCATAGATGTCCTCAATCGACTCACTGATCGAAAATACAAGCAAGAGACAGTACATGTCATGCGGTATATCTTCCCGCGTCAGTTCGGGTTGCACAACGTCTTCACTTCCAAGGTGGATCATCGTGAGACAGCCATGCCGTTCAAAGACTACACGCTGCGCGAGAAGGATATACATACCGCCATGTCCCGGGAGCTAGGACCCAAAGCGACAGATGCCCAGGAAATAGCCAAGTGGAAACAGCGAATACCCAAGAGACTCCGGGGTGACGCTGTTAAACTGGTGGACAAACTTCGGGTCCGCAACCAGCGGTGCTCGTATATGGAGATGCTGCGCCACTACTGCCCAATCGAGGTACTCTTCTCCATGACATGTATAGGAAAGTCTGCTAACTCAGATAGGGGGTATCTGTGTCAACGAAGCCAGATTGGAGAAAGAGCGCACTTCAGCCGAAGGCAGATGTACGATCAGTCGCAGATCCAGTCAATCGTCGCACAAAAACGCGGCCTACTCCTGAAGATCCCACCGTTCAAGAAACCTGTTTCACAGATCTGGCGTGTCCAGCAGCACACGTATCGGCCTTTTGTCGCGCAGTCATATCCAAAGTTATACCGGAAAGATTCTGGGGCAACGAGCATAACCATCGCATCCTTATGTATTGGGTGGACCAATTCGTAGACATGCGCAGATTCGAATCGCTTAATCTACATCAGATTACACAGAACATGCAGGTACGTATTCCCCTACATTGAGCATGGAGCTATACTAAGAGATCCGAGATCACGAACATAGCCTGGTTGCGCCCACCCAGCCAAGGTGACGACACAAAGGTGTCCAAGTCGGACCTAGATAAGCGTACGGAGATATTTCTCGAGTTCGTCTACTGGCTCTTCGACTCTTTCCTCGTTCCCTTGGTCCGTACAAACTTCCACGTAACAGAGTCCAACGCGCATCGGAACAGACTATTCTATTTCCGCCATGATATTTGGCGGATGTTAACAGAGCCCGCTTTGAAGGAACTACGGATGAACATGTTCGAGGAGATGCCTACTGAAAGCACGGAAAGACTGCTATCCGCACGTCAGCTCGGCTTCAGTAATATCCGCCTCCTTCCGAAGAAACAGGGCTTCCGAACTATCATGAACCTCAAGAGAAGACAGCAGGTGATGCGATATGGTACTATGACTCTAGGAAGAAGTATCAACTCGGTGATGACACCAGCTTTCAATGCGATTACCTACGAGAAGGTCAGTAGTCGCTTGCGTTGACGGATTTACTATGGCTAACTTGAAGCAGTCGTTGCGTCCCGATAAATTTGGCTGCTCACTTTTCTCCGTCGGAGATATGCTTCCCAAGCTTGCATCTTTCAAAGCATCATTGCGACAGCGGGGACTCGGCGACATTCGGCTTTATTTTGCTAAGGTTGATGTTCAGGCTTGCTTCGACACTATACCACAGTCACGCTTGCTGCGTATGATCGACAGTCTCATGTCGATCCAGGCTTACAACACCGGCAAACATGTGGAGATTTCCCCCCTGGGTCCTCTACAGCGTCTCGGCGGTAAACATGTGGACCCAATGCCTCTCAAGAAGTACATACCGCACACTGAGGCAGCGACGGGTGTAACGCCTTTCCACCAACTCGTGCAAGATAGATTGGCGGGCACAAAGGCCAACACCGTCTTTGTTAATACCAACTTGCAACGGCGTGAGACCAAGGATGACTTGATGCAGCTCTTACAGGAGCATATCGAGAGAAATGTCGTTAAAATCGGGAAGCGCTTCTATCGCCAGAAGACTGGTATACCACAGGGCTCAGTTTTATCGAGCATCTTGTGCAACTTCTTCTACGCCCAACTGGAACGCGATGTGCTTGGATTTGTGCTTGATGAAGATTCATTGCTTCTTCGTCTGCTTGACGATTTCCTCTTGATCAGTATCAACGAAGAGTATGCTCAGCGCTTCGTACGCGTTATGCACAAAGGCCACCCGGAATACGGTGTGGTGATAAAGCCTTCAAAGTCGATGGCAAACTTCGATGTCACGACAGAAGAAGGAGACCGGATAGCGACAAGCGGCTCAGATGGTAAATTCCCGTATTGCGGCGTCTGTATCGATACGACGACGCTGGAAGTCAGCAAGAAAACGGAACGCCCTACAAAGACCGGTAGGTGGCATTGCGGGCACAATGTCTATTTGCGGCTTCAAATGCTAACCGCACCAGGTGTTGAGGACTCTTTGACTGTAGATCTGACCAAAATGCCCGGCCAAACGTTCCATCGCAAAGCTCTCAAGTAAGTCTCGAAGATCGCGATATGCACCGCCGACCAATCGGCTTATGGACGGGGTGAAAAGTCCGACAATTTACTGATTTCTGATAGCGGATTCAAAATCCAGCTGAAGGCCATGCTGATCGATCCATCGTTGAACAGCGTGGCAACGGTACTAGCGAATTTGCATCAAAGCTTTCTTGAAGCGGCGGTGAGGTGCCTCGAGTACGCACGCGCGCTATCCAAGGTGCGAACGACGTGTTCGAATCTGCTTATCAGTACGTCTAAACTTTCCCGTTGCGAAAATTCCAACGCCCAATCCATCGATGCTCGTGCGGGGTTGTCCCGTGGGAGGGTGGGCGTGGTAATGAATGATGGTCTGATAACACGAAAGCGAGCACGGCACACGCCACGAGCGATCGTGAATGCGCCGGCTACGCTAGCGAAGGAAATTGCTGACGGAGGGAACTGCAGAGACAGTAGACAACATGATTGCACTAGCCCATGTGATGCTACAGCGCCGTTCACGCTCGCGCGGCAGCAGAGAGGCAAAGATTGTGCAGGGCGTCATCTCGCGGCGGCAGCTTTCATGGTACGTGTGGCTAAGCTTCCGTGTTGCACAGCAAGTGGATGCGCGATCTGCGATTTGGCTAGATCGCCTCCACGGTTTGCAAGATGACATGGCGGGGCTCGTATTACCGGTTTCCAACAGATGCTAATTGAAGGGATAGGCTGGCTTGTAAAGCTTTTCAGACGGTGTTTCAGCGCAAGCAGACGCAGCATCGCGCGCTGCTAGCCTGGCTGCAGACATGTCTCTCGGCAGCGCGCATGTCTGACATGGCGGAGCGACGCATGCTGGAGGAGGCAATAACTTGGCACTGAAAGCTTAACACGCTAGCAAAAGCGGGTTCCAGCGATAATGCAGTGGCTAGGCATATAGCGAAGATGTTGGGAGGTGCAGGTGTGGATGCGAGTGTGGTGACGGGATAGGAACTCGGGAAAAGCACTAAGGATCTGTGGCCGGGGGCCCACGCCGAGCGCCCACGTCTAGCGGCGGCATGTGGGCACGACTGCAAGCCTTGGGCCTTGGCTGCAGCGCTGTCGGGAGTGACGGAAGGACTGCAGAGAGGATGATGTCGTTATGTCTTTTTCTTGCATATTGCAGCGCTGGTAGCACTGAGGCAAGGCGCGGTAGTGTATAGGTGGACCACTACTTGCTCCTGATAAGCCTCGCGTCGAGCAGGCGACAGCCCTCGACGGCACGCGATTGGCCCGCCGGCGCTGGTATCGTGATGTCAAGCGTAGATGCGACGGCTGGGACACCAACCCCATCCCAAAGAAGCCGGGGTCGACTATGCAGGCTCTCAGCAGAGGGACAGCGTCGCAAAACGCCTGGCTAGGCGCATTGAACCAGGGTCGGGCTGGAGAAGCATACCTGCCTCAGTCGGCGCCGTATTGGTTTTGCGGTTTCAAGCACGATTGCATCTCACATATCGCCAGAACCTCGCCCTCTGCTCCCATGCCCGATCCCATTCCCAACGTAGAACCGACGGCTGCTTGCAATTAAACTCGACCAAGGCATCTTGCGCCGCTGACGGGTCCAGAGCACTGCGAGGCCCACCACTGGAGTCCATCCCTGTCCCCCGACATCAGGGGCTAGCGCGAGTTCCGCAAATTGCGTCGCCGAATCGACCAAGATGCCGGCGGTGCAGCATCACCAGCGACTGCCTCCTGTCTACGAAGCGGGCGATAGCGAAGACTGCGACGCCGACGTGCACTACATCTCGCCCGCCAAGTCGCTGTACATTATTTCCGCGCATAGCTATGTGCCCTCATTAATCAAAGCCCCTTGCGACCGCGACGACAGCTGGGCGAACGACCACCGACTGCCTCACCGCATTGGCACACCACTCCGCATCGACACCCAGCGACGACCGCCCCGACCGCTCATGGCCACCCTCACCTACGCCCACGATGCCCAGCAGACGTTTGGCGCTCCGCCCGGCAGCCCGCCGGACCTCACAAACTCAAAGTCGTCCAAGTCGTCCAGCATCCACTCGTCCACGCTGCTAGACTTCATGGGCACGACGGAGAACCTCTCGCACTTTGAGGACATCAACCTCGACGAAGCATCAGGTGGGCCCTCCTCCTTCCCCGTGCCGGCGAGCCCGTCTAATCGCGTCCTCTTCGAAGCCCCGCGCGCCTCGCTGTCCACCAGGAGCCTCCCGCACTCGCACTCGGCCCACTCCTTCCGCGACCTGACGGGTGCCACCAAGCAAAAGTACCCGAGCCTCAAGGGCCAGGTCAACCACGCCGTCCGCCAGCAGGCCCAGCTCTCCGCCCCCGGCAAGCAAGCCAGAAGAGGCTTCACCTCGCCCTCTGTCCCCTCGCTCTCCAGCCTGAGCCTTGCCGCGCCCCAGCGCTCCTCGCGCTCGCCATCCCCCTCAAACACACACAAGTCTGCTTCGGGACCCCGCACATTATCTCGCAAGAGCTCGCGGAACGACGTCTTGCCGTCCCCGGGCTTGGGCTCCAGGAGGCAGTCGTGGCAGGACTCCAAAAGAAAAACTGTAAAAGAAAGGGAGGCAGAGTGCGACGATGAAGACGATGAGCTCCCTGAAGACGCTGTCATCTGGAATGTTCCCATCTCGCCGCGCCCTACTCAGGATCGGTCGCCGGCGTCATGGACCGGAGAAAGTCCGCCATTAATGTCACCGCATCCTGGCGTCTCTTCGTCTTCGAGGACATCTCCCGCACCTTCTGCGCGCGTCTCCCAGCGAACCCCCTCACCCAATGTTTCCAGCAGGGGCGTGTCTCCCCAACCCGGGGCACAGCAAAACACGTGGGCCGAGACGTACACCGCGTTAGATACCGACGCCAAGTTGATCACAGAGAAGCTAGAGGAGTTCCAATCCGAGTTTGAGCGAAAGCAGGAAATCTCACGGCAACAGCCCGGTCTCACGCGTTCAGCGTCTATGAGCCAGCCAGAGCCAAAGAGTAAAAAACCAGCACTCCCGCCTGTTCGCAAGAGCGATCCTCTGATCGACCCTTTCCAGCCCTCAGTTGAGAAGCAGAAGTACCTCTCGCGCACCCGACCTTCATGGCTCCCACCCAAGAACCCCAAGGAGGAGAAGAAGCACCTCAAGGAGTACCAGCGCATGTTGGCTCGTATTGAGGAAGCTGGTAAGTTATCTGCGCCTTCAAAGGCTCTGTCTGAGACAATAAATGGCTAACAATCACAGAACGTCTTGAGGCTCAACGCGCGCAAGAGGAGGCGCTGGCTCGTGAAAAGGCCAGCCGCATCAAGGCTGAATACTGGTCGAGCTTACTGCTACCGAACTGGGCCACCGAGATGACCAACTCCGAGCTACGTGCCTCGCACAGGAAGATGTGGTGGAACGGAATCCCCCCACGGTTGCGAGGCCAGGTCTGGCAGAAAGCGATTGGAAACGACCTTGAGGTCACAGAAGCTACCTACAACATTGCCTTGGAGAAAGCACGCAAAGAAGTGAAGACACATGGCCACGAAGCGCTCGGAGGCCGCTATGTCTACATTGTCGAAAGCACCCAAGCAGTGTTCCCTGAACTGAAGATGTTTGCCGCACGAACGTCACAAGCGGCAGAGGACGAGCAGCCGCTGCACCGGGACCTTGTCGATGTGTGCCTGGCCTACTCCATGTACCGCCCGGACATCCCACACTCAAGTTTCGACATACATCACATCGCCGCATTGCTCTTATTGAACCTTGCCGCGCCGCAAGCCTTCGTCACCCTGTCCAATCTGCTCAACCGCCCGTTGCCACTGTCCTTCCTCATCCACGACCAAAACGCCATACACGCCGCCTACTCCACAACACTGCACGTTCTGTCGAAGAAAGCGCCCAGTCTGGCTCAACGGCTAGAGACGCTACGAGTTGAACCCAGAGATTACCTCTTCCACACCCTCGGCTCACTGTTCTGTGGTCGTCTAGGCGTTGAGCACGCCGCGCGCATCATGGACATTTACACCATCGAGGGCGATAAGAACGTCCCACGCGCTGCCGTCGCTATACTCAGTATACTGGAAGGCAGCTGCATGGAGGGTGACGCAGCGCAGGTTGCAAAGACACTGCGCGAAAAGAAGATTGAACTTGATGTGGACGAGTTCATGAACAAGGTGTTTGAAGCGGGCAAGAGCACGTAGACTAATACCGTCCATAGTCTTGGTGGTGGTTGATAGCAGCGGCAGTCAACAGAAAGTATTAATACCGTATTGTACAGTTGAGACAGAAATAATCGACCCATTACAATAATCACCCATGGAAGAGAAAGAGAGAATCAAAAACAGAGGGACACCAGAAGAGAAAGATCGATGATATACGAAGACTCATGCAGCGCGACTTGGAGCTGAACATACACCATTTACCTGTTAATTTCCTAGCCTCTTTGCATACACAACCGGCGTTTTCGATCTTTCCATTGCGTTCTTTGCATACACGGAGTCTGTCACTTTCTTGTCTCGTTTGAAACCATGGAAAGGCTCGTTTTTGCGTCATACAATCAATCATCTTCCCTTTATCTATCTTGTATATAACACACGCAATTACTCTTAGACAATTGGGAGGAAGCGAAAACCGGGTAGGTGAGTAGCTGAGCTTAGAATCTATAATCGCACAACAAACACGGTCTCGATCTTTTATTGTTGCATGTGCGAGACTGGTTGAATTGTGTTTTACTGGAGTGACCCCTCTTTTCACATGTCGAACCTAGTGGCGGGGCAAAGTTTGTGTTAGTGGTAACGGTTAACGGTGACGATAATGGGCGGGAGGCGTTATCGTGGCGTAGCTGATGGTGTAGAAAGGGGGAGGCCGGGAACTAAGGGCTTCTCGGCTCTCGTATGTAACGGGTGCGGGAGGGGCGTATCTGCATAGTGCTATGTTGCAATCTCCGAAGAGAGACTATCTGCTCGAGGCGTTTTTGTGGCCGCTGGCAGGTCATGAAATGTTGTGTGTGCGTTGTGTGTTTGTGTTGCTGAGAGCTGGCTTTGGC